TCCGACTCTCTTTGTAACTCCTCACGGTTTCTCCTTCTCAAGGGGGAACACCCTGCCTTTGAGATGACTGCCAGAGGTTCTTTTCATCGCCAAGTGCCTTCAAATATTTCTCGGATTTGATCTCAGTTGCGATTTGCACATTGATAGTGATTTGCTTTTGTCTGTCCCCTTATGTTCGGCATTCTCAGCTCGGGACTCTGCCGGGAGTTCCCTTGGGTGGTTCTCTAACCCGATGACATTGGGGAGATTCCCTGAGACTAGCAATTTTCCGGCCCCACATTCCTCTTGACTTCTGGCAAGTATCTTTCTCCATTATTGGGTAGCTCCTGAGTTTGCTTCAGTTCTACAGCTTGTGCATCAAGTTACGGAGCCTTTGCTTCATTTGCTTGCCAAGTGTTCCACTCATCAGTACTGCTTTTCTCGAGTCTTTTGCCACTATCTATAATGTTGGACAAGCAACGGTTTGTGTGACCTTAATGGAAAGTAGTCGAGACGGGCGTGATAGGGGATCTTCATTGACATGGAGCGTCACCAAGTGGACTTATCATATGGCTTCGGAAGCGCCTGGATATAGCTTCGAACGCCAGTCATCGGCTGGAATTATGTTCTGTGCTTGCCTCTTATGCACTCTATAGAATGAACAAAGGCAAATCTTCCGTGAACTTGAGTCGGGTTATGCTCGGGCTTGGAACTTTAGACGGCACACTCTACTGTTTTGGTCCTCCAGATGTAGATGTGACGGGCAGCTTCTTCGAAGGTGTCTTAGGAAAGATTGAGTTTTTTTTTATCATTCTTTCTTGCCCCCTTTCGATAAAAATGTTTTATTCTAGGACATGCAATGATACAAAATTTTTGGTTGTTTGGATTATTTTTCGCATTGTTTTCTCATTCTAACTTGATAAATACTTTATTCGAATATAGAAATCATATGCAGCATGTTATAAAACTGAAATATTCCATTAGTTTCTTCAACTTTTCTTGACAAAAGATAATAGATCCAACTGTAAGTGATGGGAAAACATACACATAGAGAAACAGCTTCTCATACGCGAAGGGAAATAAACCTTTAGACAAAGTAAGAAAGTGGAAAAATGAATTTCAACATAGATGAGTCAACTATGGGTAGTAAATGCTTGATAAACTTTGCTTGAGCGGCCAGTTCGGAAGCCGTCTTCAACCCTTGACAAGTTTTGGTAGTAACCCGCCTTGAGCATTGCCTGAAACACTTGTAGGGCCCTTCCATTTCTGGAGAAAACTTGGGTAATAGGCTGTCTCGCATGATTGGGTCTTCAATCTTCCATACTAGATCACTTCTTCAAACTTCCCTTGGTACAAAGTTCTGGTTATAGGCCTCGGGCGATGGCTATGCATACCTTCTCCATGAACTTTTGCAGCTCTGTCATGCTTTTCCTCTAATGCTTCCATTGGTGGTTCGGGCTCCAACATTCCCGAGGCGCAGAGCATTCGAGCAGATGGGCGTTTCCACTCTATAGGTAACACTGCTCGGACCACTAACACAAGGGAGTAGGAGTTGCTTGAGTTGGCCTTTCTCTTCGAAGTGCGATACGCCATAGGGTACTATAACTGTTCGGACAAGTCCCCAAATCATCCATCATCTTGCTCAGTAATCCTTATAGTGTCTTGTTTTGTGGCTCCGCCGCCCGTTCCTTTTGGATAGTAAGGTGTGGATTTGTGATGCTTCACATTCGGTAAGTCTCTAATCTCTCTCA